CTCTCTCTTCTTTTCACTCTTGAGAAATCCCACTTTCACGCCCTCTGCTGGCGTCAGGATAATCTCTACATGCATGGTCCGTTTGCTCCCATAATCAATGATCTGGTCGAATTCCTGCAGGATCCTGACGATCGTGTATCCCATCTCTACCATGGCGAATTGCTGTCCGATACATATTCTGGGTCCGCCGTTGAATGGGATGAAGTTCCACGCTTTGGGGGTCCAGGTCGCCCAGCGCTCTGGCCACCATTCCAGCGGGTCGTAGGGGAACGACGGCGAAATTGGCGGATATAAGTCCCTTCTTCGCTGCATCGACAAAGTGCTGTATCCCACCACTGTTCCCTTTGGACAACCCACCGGTGCATTGCCGTCTTTCCCTCCACCTCGAGGCAATGTAGTATCTGAGAGTGCCGAACGGACATTAAAAGGTACTATCGGATAGAGCCGCAGGGTTTCGTTGATGGTGTACGTCAAATACTTCATGTCTTTGATCTCTTGATAGGTTGGCGGTCGACCATCGTTTCCCAAGACTTCCTTGATCTCTGCACGAAGTCTCTCGACTGCGCGAGGATTCTTGGCCAATTCCAGGAAAAGCCAGGACAGTGTTCCGGCCGTGGTGTCGCGGCCGGCCAACAGCAATGCCGCGAGCTGATCGCGCATAACCTTTCGATCTCTGGTATATCGGGCCAGTGCGTGGATAAAGGTGTCTGAGCGAGATAACTTGGTCTCCAACTCTTCCGGAGTCAATGAAAGTGCCTCATCAATGAACGGCTCAATGAAACGCTCCATGGTCTTCAGTCCATCATAGAAGGATTTCTTGCTGCGGAAGTGCTTCAAGGGCCTGCGCAAATTATAAGCTGAGCGAACAAAGACGAGTGATGGTCAGATTTCTTACCCCAAGCGGCCCTCTAGGGATTGGACGCGTTGAACTTCGTCAAAGGCAGCAGCGAAAGCAGACTGTTCTTTATCCAAGCTGCCAACGGTGTGTCCGAATAGAAAGTGGGTGGACGCATCAAGGCTGAATCGGAAGAACAGTTTGTTCAACATGACCGCACTCCCGTCTCCCGTACCCATCAACGCTATGAGTTTGCGGACATGAGTCTCAATCAATGGCAGGTCAGCGACCTTCTCCCGGATAAACATTGGACGAATAAGTTGTCGCGAGTTGTGCCATTGCTGCCCGTCAGTGGTGAAAATGCTATCGCCTAGGAAGTCCTGCCACTCCTCATGGAATTGTTCGCCTGTCGTGTTTTGCGCCAGGCCGTTAGCAATCAGTAACCCATCGAGGTCCTCTTCGTCACGACCAAACCTAATCACGACTTACCTTTACCAAACTCCTGGAATTGCGTCGTCAAGATGGCCTTGGTGTTTTCTGGGTCTGCGGTAAAGATGACGCGAACATCCTCCAGCAGATGAAGCTCGGCCGTGTACGAGGCCGTTCCTTTACTGTCAGTGCCGGTGTGTTCGTAGATCCAGTCCCAGAATTCCAGTGTTTCGTTTCTGAGGATCGCCAGTGTCGAATGAACAGGAAAATCCAGGCCTGTAGAGCGGGGGGTGGCATTAGTATGATTTGATGTCCTGGGTATGATAACAGAGCAGCCTGACCAAAGATGAACCGAGTTGTGACCCGCGGCGCTTCACTGCCAAGGGCGGCGACCTTCTTCCATTTTCTGTATCTCTTGATGTACACCGAGGCGACGTACGCTAGGAGTGCCGCGAGCGTGAAATATTGCCATGGACGGAGTTGGAACATCATGGTTGCAAAAGATGCTTTGCGAGAGCCCAGTTTTGTACTTCGTACGTTGTACAGAACTGATCAATGCGCAAAACACGAACCAATGTCAATTCAGAGAAGAGGCAACAAAAGTCCAGATGTTTCAGGGTGTCGGGGATTTATCCTAGCCCAAAGTTGATTACTTGTGAGGGATGGAGCCAGAGTCTGGGGTCAAAGTTTCTTATTTCCCAAAAGAGCGTCTTATGGGGGAACAGGCAACCATCCCGAACCACCCACCAACATTGCATTACCAACTACAAACCTGTAGATCATGCCACCAGACTAAGTGAATCAGGCATCACCATTTCCCTCTTCATTCTGCCTGATATTCTAGAGCTGCTCGAACGAAGAGTAAATAGAGTGATAGGTCCATTCCAAGATTTCGCCAACAGCGAGCAAGTTTCAGAATGGTCTCGTATTCCGTTTAGAATCTTACGAAGTACGTCTTCCGATTTAGACTGTTCGTATGGGCCAATGACGGGCATCCCATCTCGCAAGGAAATCCCCTTTCCAGTTGTTAGGTCAGCCTTGGTGTTTCTTTGACGATTGATCCCAGACCACCAGATACTCATCTTCATTCAAACACTCGATCACCATTCCTTATCGCAGTCAATCGCTATAGGTTGCATCCACCTTCCATTAAACACCATGTCATGGTGACTGGAGACATGCGGAGCCCCAGATCTATGACCCCTCGTTCCCTCCACTCTCCCAGTCTCTTGGTGGCGTCCTCAAGCATGGATTCTTCTCTCACCCCGGCCCACAGTACTTCTGCGGCTGCGGCAACTCGGGGCCACAACTTTGAATCAAGGTCGCTCGAGTCAGTCTGCTCAGACCACATCAAGACTTCCCCTCCTTCAATGCCCTCCTGGAGGTGGGTGCTAATGTTCCCCAGTGGATTGTAGGTATACATCTGCCGCCAGTTGTGGTAGGGATTGCAATAGTCAAGGTATGGCTTTTTCAGTCTGCTAGGGTATCCGCCAGATGTGTTGTAAGGGACTCCAGGCGGCGACTTGCCAGAGGGATAAGGATCGAGGAAGACGCCAAAGCCACCTATATGGTCAGTAGCGTCTGGTATCCGAGCGGGTTGCACTTACAGTCAAGATACCAATAATGGTAGTCTCCAAATATTGCTCGATGGCCTCGTTTCAACACTTCTTCAATCCGCTCGCTATTCCGCCAGACTTGAACCAAGGTTTGCCTCGACGGAGCATTATCCAAGACAGAAGGTAGTGTTAGATTCCAGTCAAGAAGCACTAGTGTGTGGTTAGCATCAAACAAAGGACCAGAGCTGTTCAAAGATGTCACTACACCCAAACACCCTCCAGGGGAATCTTACTCTCTTCCCAAACAATTGGCTGAAGTCCGTGGCGAATGCATGCGTCGATGACATTGTCAATGAATCTCTGTAGCAACGGCTGTAACACTTTCGGGTCGTCACTCTTCACCGTGTCGTCAAGGAGATACGCCGCCAGATTCAACTCATCGCCACCGACGTGATACAAAGAGGTATAAGGTCGTGTTCGCGGCAAAAGGTCGTCAAGGACAGTGGTCACAAATTCGTGAACAGCCGAAGAATTGAGCTTAAGCTGGCCACTCAAAGGCTCTGCAGCAAATGTTGACCAATCCAGTTCATTGAATGCTGCAATCAAGTCTGGAAATGCATATGCTACAGAGGCTGTGTGCCCGGGCATATCAATTTCGATGAAGACCGAAACACCTTTCGTAGCACCATACGTCTGAATCTCACGAAAGACGTCAGCAGCCCAAACATGATGAGGCTGATACGCTCCTTTTCGGGCCAGGTCTGGGAAAGGAAGTATTTCGAGAGGCCAGCTTTGCGAATCAGTCGCATGGATGTGCAGTCTGTTCAACTTAGCCATTGCCATAGCATCAATTGTGCGTATCAGGTCCTTTGAATCAAAAGGATTTCGGGCTATGTCGATACTCAACCCACGGTGGCGCCATCTAGCTCTATCCACTATGCTCAATGGTGCAAATGGTGTGTAGGACCCCGATTCTGTCGAGAGGGCAAAAAACAGCTGCTCAAGGGTTTGCAGGGCTCTAATCGTCCCTATACTGCAGTTGGACTTGATGGAAGCAATGCCGTGTTCGTCAATTTCAATCGCATAAGATTCATCATTCCCAAAATAGCTTTGCGGAACGAGTGGTTCTGCTTTTGGACAAGCACTTTGCTGGATATCCAATGTGGAAATGTAATGACGAGGAGCTTGTGAATCTGGTTCGAAAGCGGAATGTCGCTTGTAAAGCTTCCAGGGGACAAACTTGGACCTCTGAATCGATCGAATCGTTTCGCGTACGCTATTCTGCACAATTGACCTCTCAGAGAACACAGGCTGGCCGCTGTTGTTTCTGTGCACAAAGGGGAATTGGAGCTTATCCATTAGACCCTGTGTGAACTCGAACGCGCCGTTGAGCACACTGGCTAAAGGGCCAGCCTGTAAGCCAGAAGGGCCATAGAGTTCAAAAGTTTGCTCTTCACAGCGAAGAGTTGCATGAATGGCTGAATCAAGCCATAATACTCGATTACCAGTCTGGATCTCAGCAGGTTGCGGCCAAACAGCAAGGCAGGTCGTGACGAGTGCCAGGGTGAACAAGGGGTGCGGCTGCATTGCAAACAGCTGATACCAATGCAATCATTGGGGTCACTTTTGGGCAATTCTCTGGAGAATGGGAGGGACTGCGGAAGTGATTGATGTGAGAGAGACACAGGGCAAGACGTGGGAGGGAAGAGTGAGGCGGATATATGTTTTTCCAATCCAGAGAGTCCGGTGCCGGGAACATTAATTCTCCGTTCCGAGACAAGTAACAAGGAACCAACTCGAACATCGGAACTTACAAGGGCCTCGAGACGCCTGGGGGATTCCTCTAGTGGATGCTGTGGGTGCGCCAGGTGCCTTTCTCCACAACCCGTAATATAACCAGACACCAAGCGTCCTTTTTCCGCATGGGAACCCTCCCTCGCCTTGTGTTGATCTACCAAACGACACTTCACTTCTTCTCTACTATTCTTACCGCATCCTTGATATAGTGACAGAGGTTGCTATTCACTTTGCCTTAACTTTATACTTTGAGACAGTCTGTGGGAAGAGCTTCATGCTTGCCTCACCCTGACCTTTCAAAGCGTTCTCGGTTTCCGTCCTGCCCTTTCGGTTCCTCCCCTAACGGTTCTTTCGAGGCTTTCTTCGGAGCCACCACCACCACCATGGCCACCGCAACGGAAGATTCTACTGCCAATGCCGGCTCCAGCACGACCAAGACTCCAGCTCAACTCATGCAGGAGAAACATGAGGCCGCAGAAGCGCATCATGTGACTGTCGAAGAAGTGCCCGATGAAGACGATCTTCAACACCCGCCCCCTTCCCATCACGCTGCAGAAGAGGCGGAAGATGCCACAACCACAACCAATGGGACTGGCAATGCCCCAATGTCGGCCAAGGCTGCTGGGAAGCAGAAGGCGACTGAAAAACCTCCGGTGCTTGACACTCAGTCTGAGGAGGCTTTTCCGGCTTTGGGAGCTGCCACTGCTGCGTCCGCCAGACAGCCCGGTTGGATTGCCAGTGCATCTGCCAAAGCTGCTCCAACAAACGGCTCTCCCGCCCTGGGATCTCGACCGACGTCTTCTGGTGCTCCAACACCGAACTCTACGTCTGGTGCCCGGACTCCAGTAACTACAGCCGGCCCACGCAGCAACGTTGTCCTTCCCGGAAGATACCGTGACTCCTTCGAGATTGACAATGCCGACTTGGACAAGAGCAAACCCCTGTCACGAGTTTTGAACGACGTGAAGAAGAAATTCAACGTTATCGTCACTCCGAAGTCCACCAATTTCGCGACTCGAACTGAATTCATTGCCGAAGGTCCCAAGGCGCGAGTCACCGAGGCCCTGATGTACGTCTCCAAGGAACTGACGCTTGAGAAACAAGTCAAACTGGAAATTCCATCCACCGTCTCCGCGCAGATCATTGGCAAAGCCGGTGGAAACATCAAGAAGCTGGAAAGTCAATTCAATGTCCGTATACATATTGATCGTGATACCAAGCCTGTGACGAGCCCCGAGGATGTCAGGACTGATGTGGTCGAGATTCGTGGAAACGCTGCTCAGGTTCGACAAGTCTATGAGCAAATCTCAAACCAGGTCAAGTCACTGCAGCCCAAGGTCGATCTTCCCGTGCGCAATATTCCGCCAGAATTCTATCCCTTCATCGCTGGTCGTCACGCAGACCGACTCCAACAGTTGGAGCAAGAACGCGACGTTCGCATCAACGTGCCGCAATACCATACGTGGCAGCAACAACCACCACCGCGGCCTGCCGAGGTGGATCAACCTCCTACCTTTGTTCCTCATGGAGATAATCACATTGTCATTTCTGGTGATCAAGCTGCAACAATAGAAGCACGTCTATTGCTAGAGCAGTTGGCAGAAGAGCTCCAGAAAGAGCTCCTCCTCGAAGAGCTCACCGCTGAACAGATTCTGCATCCATACATTGTCGGCGAGCGCGGGATGGACCCCTTGAAGTTCTTAGAGGAGACCGGTTGTGCTGTTATTTTGCCGCCACCTAATCATGACACGGAGGATATCCATATCATCGGTCCAAGAGACAAGCTCGAGGCCGGTCGGAATTTGGCCGAAGAACTCATGTCCCGAAAACACAATCGGGCCGTCGACATGCGCAAGCATTTCGACGATGCCCCTCAAGGCCCAGAGCGCCACTCAAGAGCACTTGCACAGTATCTTCAACAGAAAGCGATCGAGCGCGAATTCATGAAATCTCATGGCGCCGAAATCATCTTCCCGCGGAGCAGCAGTACAACTCCGAGCTGGACTGTCATTAGCAACGACCCGCAGAAGGCACTTTCTGCACGCAACGAGCTTGCCAAAATTACTCAGGCCTATCCTTCGGCAAGAATTCAGCTGGTCGAGGTCGATCCTTTCTTCCATCCTCATCTCGAGCAAATGCATGCAGCCAATCTGAGGGATAACTTGGGTGTCCACATGATCGTGCCCGAGGACGGCTCAGATCCCGTCGTACTAGTCTACGAGGGACCTTCACGGGATCAGCCCTTTGCGATTCCTCGCAACAAACCCACCCAGACTGAAATGGCGAAATTTGAGAAAGCCCTACAGGAGGCACAGGCACTGTTGCTGACCAATATTCCTCACCAAGGCATTTCAGTGCAGGATATCCACGTCCCGAAGAAGTTCCAGGACAAGGTCAAGAGATTCGTGAACAACGAGCCTAGACCTATGCCTCCGCAATCTTTCCCGGTTCAAGTGGATTTTGGTGGCACTCGAGGCGGTCCACGACAAGCCAATGGCGTCTCCCGAGGCTCGCCATCCGAAAGAGTCTATCTGCGTGGTCCAAGCGAGGCGGATATCGCAGAACTCCGCCAGAAGATCGAAGAATTCCTCCGAGAGGCAGAAGAAGATGAGAAAGAGCGTGGATACACGACGACTTTTGCTTTCCCCGCACAGTTTAACAAGAACTTGATCGGAAAACAGGGTGCCAACATCCGGGCTTTGCGTGAAAAGCATGACGTGGAAATCGACACTCGCGAGGATGGACATGTCACCATCAAAGGTCCGGCGAAGAAGGCCGAGGCATGCAAAGCGGAAATTCTACGGCTAGCCAAGCAATGGGAGGATGAAGTCAATTTCGCCATCAAAATTGACCCCAAGTTCCATGGTATGTTGGTGGGCAGAAACGGAGAGAACTTGCAGAAAATTCAAAGCAAGGTCGACAACACGGTGCGGATTGACTTCCCGAGGGTGCAGAAGTTTAGCGACGACGCCTCTGCCGCCGATACTGCGAGTGAAGCTGGCGTTGGTCGCGGTCAGCCTCATGATGAGATCAGAATACGAGGACCTCGAGCAAAGGCCGAGAAGGTGCGTGACGAGCTGCTGAGTCTCCACCAGTACTTGGTCGACAATTCGCACACTGCGACTGTGTCTGTGGCACAAGGGCAGATTGCCTCCCTCATTGGCAGACGTGGCCAGGAGATGGAGAAGCTCCGAGCCGACACGGGAGCGCAGATCGATATCCCGAAGGCTGATGGCGCTGATCGTGTAACAATCCAAATCAAAGGCACCAAGCAACAAGTCGAGAAGGCCAAACAAGAGCTGGAGAAGCGAGCTAAAGCTTTTGATAACATTGTTACCCGGACTTTGACGGTGGACCGAAAGCATCACCGTCCCCTCATTGGAGCTGGCGGTATGTCCTGTCACCCCCAGTCATGAAATAACATGCTGACTTTTTACAGGCTCTCATATCCAAAACCTGGTCGCTAAAGCGGGTGGCACCGGTACTAGTGCAGAACACGTCCGGTTCCCTCGGCAAGGAGACGAGTCTGATGAACTTACCGTCAGGGGCACGGCTGACGTCGTCGAGAGGATCCTCGCCGCCATTCAAGCCTTCGTGGATGAGCGGGAGAACCAAACGACCGAGACAATCGATGTCCCGATCAGCCAGCACCGTTCTTTGATCGGGCCGAATGGTAGCATTCGAAAGAAACTTGAAGCAGAATTCGGTGTCATCCTTGATGTACCTCGAGTGGGCACTGGACACACCGGCGTCAAAATCATCGGTCGCCCGGAAAATGTCGCCAAGGCCAAGGAGCGCATACAAGGGATGATATCCAAGCCTCAGGGCGAAACAATCATGGTTCCACGGTCTCTGCATCATATTGTGTCCAAAAATGGTGCTCTATTCCGAGAGCTGTCTCGGGATGGCATTCGTGTCGATCACAGTGGACAGAGGCCGCCACCAAAGCCGGCTGCCAACCGCGGATCACGGACACGGACGACGAATGGTGATATGCCGCTGATCACTGATCAACCTGGGGAGGAGGCCTACTCATGGGATATTGTTTCTAACCAGCAGGGATCGGACAGTGAACCTGGGGAGATCCCCTGGGTGATCTTGGCTGGAAAAGATGCCACCGACGAGACTGTCGCCAAGGCTAAAGACAAGATCCAGTCACTGCTTCAGAAGGCTGCCGAACCTCAACACACCGGCTTCCTCATCCTCCCAGACCCTAGACTTCACCGCCACATCATCGGGCAGGGTGGCTCGACGATTAATGCTATCCGGAGACAGTCTGGTTGTGACATTCAAGTTCCGAACAGAAACTCCAACAGGGGCGAGGAAGGAGAAGCTATCACGATTGTGGGTAAGGAGGATGGCGTTCTGACTGCACGGGATTTGATTCTCGAGGAAATCAAGCGGGCTGAGGCGGGACGAGACTCGCCCAGAGGTGGTGGTCGATCCTAGAAAACGTCAAGGTGGCCATCCGCGGTCTCACGGAGACAGGCCCGTGTCGACGTATCGTAGGTTGAGAGGTTGTAAGAGTACCAAAAAGATATGGTCGGTCGAGAGCGACGAGGAGAGCAAAAAGCTAGCTCTGGAGCAAAAGAAAGAAAAGCATGCATGCGGTTGATTTTAATTTGGATTCAAAAAGTAGCAGAAAGCGAGAACCAGAATTTTTAGAGCAAGAAAAGAAAAGATATTTCTGAGAGGAAAGCATGAATGATACGGTTCAGGCTGTGTCGAGGCTATCCTCTCCTCTCATCTCATCCTGACCTACCAGTTTCTATAGTACGATCAATACTGAGCACATTTATCCAAGTGTATAGGTATAGGCATGTAGGTATGTGTATATAACATGTGTGTTTGAGAGAGAGAGAGAGAAATATACATACACCCACACACCTTCAGGGAGAGTATATATATGAGTACTGAGCACAGCGTGCAATTTGCTTGTTACCTACACTTACATGTACAGGTTTATCAACTTGGCAAACGCTTGCGAAAGTCTCAGTCTCAGTCTCAAGTAAATTTCTATGCATTTTGCTTTGTTGTTCTAATGTATTCGCTATCGCTATCAGATATGACGTGTCACCAAGTCGCTAGATATGATAGATAGTTAAGAAACTTTTCTTCTTTTCTGTCTTTCAAAAACATCGCGCACGTGCACTTTTTTTTTTTTTTAGTACACCTCGAGCACGTATCGTCCTTCGTCCTTCAACTTCATGATCTCGCGGCTCGTGTCGACCTTCTTGGCGACTCCGTTCGCCTTTGCGTCCTTGGCGATGGCTTCCTCGAGCACGTTGGTGACGTCCGGGACGGGCCATGTCGGGCCGCACAGGTAAAAGGCGCCGTCTTCCTTGATGTAGGCCTTGACGATGTCGTCGAGGGTCTCGCGCATGCGGTCCTGGATGTAGATCTTGTGGGGCTGGTCGCGGCTGAAAGCCCGGCCGAGCAGCGTGATGACTCCCGCGGCCTGGTACGCCTCCCACTCTTCGCCGTAGCAGTACTCTTCGCGCTGGTGGCGCGAGCCCATGTACAGCAGGACGGAACCGATTTCCTTACCCTGCGCCTTCTCCATCGCGCGGTGTTGCACAAAGGCCCGGAAGGGCGCGAGACCCGTGCCCAGACCCGCCATGATGATCGGCTGGGTCGACTTGGGCGGCAGTTTCATGACGGACGGCTTGACGCTGACGGTCACGGGGGCCCCGACCTTGAGACTCGACAGGTACTTGGTCGCTTGGCCGAAGCGGTCGCGGCCCTTGGGGTCGACCCAGTTCACCACGACGACCATGAGGGCGACCGAGGTCGGAGTCACGGCCTGGCAGGACGCGATCGAGTATTCACGTCGCTTCATCGGCGAGACGATCCGCGCGATGTCGTGGAACGACGGATGTGCAGAGGGGAACTCGAGCAGGACATCTGCGTACGTGACGGTGTCGACTTCGGCCCTCCTCTGGAACTCCTTGAAGCCCTCTGGTCCCGCCAGTGTCAACAGGTTCTTCTTCTCATTCTCATCGTCGGCAAACTCTGCCAGCGCCTCGTAGAACTTCTTCGGTGGACGGCCGAAGATGTCGACGTTTTGCATCAGCGCTTGGTAGATTGTGCGATTCTCAAAGATACTCGGATCATCACGCGACGCAACCTCCACGACGTCCTCGGCGTTCAGCCCGTACCACTTGATGAAATCCATGACCTGGTCATGGTCATTTTCGGCGTGAATACCAAGGGCTTCGCCAATGTCGTACTTGAGGCCGGAGCTGCCGAGGTCGAACTCAATGTGGAAGATGTTGCGGTCGTAGGTCAGGGGAGTTAGGCGACGGTTCTCTTTGACGTGGACTGTGAAAGTCTTCACGGGCAGGTCGGGACGGAGGACGTTCGAAGCATTGTAAGCTTCCTTGAAAAGGAGGCCTTTGGCCGCCTTTTGCCAGCTGCGGAGAAGGGACGGTGGCTCTTCCTCTGCCTTGTCAAAGGACGTCAAGCTGTTTGGAGAGATGTTGGTGGGCAATGCAGCTTTCTCCTCTTCCTCCACCTCCGCCCACTCCTTGGGGACCTCAACCTGGCGCAGAGTCTTCTCGAGGTCAGCTGCCACCTGTTTAAGGGTCTCGAGATCGCTGTGGATAGTTGCGAGCTTCTGTAGACCAGTCTCCTCGGAGTTTCGCAATGCAACCCGGACAAAGGCGGCTTCGAGTATGAGCGATTCCAGTTCGGGGTTCTCGGTGGGGAGAGCAGAGTTGGCAGGGTTGATCAGGTAGAGATTGATTCCCTTCTCAGCGATCAATCTCTTGAATGCCGCAGGGAGTTTCTTCTCAACATCTTCGTCCTTGACACCAGGCAAGAGGAGAATAATGCTGCCGCCTTGTTGAACAGATTGGACCACGTCGATGTGCTCGAGCAGCTTGACATCTGTGACCACAGCAGTGTTGGCGTAGGTAATGGGATATGCTGCGTCAAGGCTTCTGGGAGATTTTCGGATATCGACTCGGTGAATACCTCCCTGAATAGAGTTGTCGTGGGTGGTGTTCACTGTGACGTTCTGAGCCGATTCAGTAGCAAGCGCCTCCGCCAAGTAGCTGGCTGCAGATGCAGCTGCAGCGTCGTCAATATTCCAGAAAGTGTAACGTTGCACAGAGTTGTCCAAGAATGTAGTGATACCTTGGTTGTCCGCAGCCTTACCCAGAAGCATCTGGAAGAGTGAGGCGATGGACGAGGGTGTCCATCGTTCAGCCCGGGCATATTTCAGCTCTTGCACTTCTGGGCGGTCATGGAGTCCCACTCCGTAGGAGACAGCCGCAAGCACATCCTCGTAAAGCCGGGAATGAACGCCCGTCTCCTGCACAGCCTGCGAGTCGGTGACCTGACCGAGGACACCGACCGTCCTCACGCCTCTGGGAATGAGCTTCAAGAACTGTTCCTCCGCAAACGGTCGATACAGTCGAACATTGATGGCTCCAACCCTGCTACCGGTTTGGGCCAGGACCGATGCTGCCTGTGCGGCTAGCGACGACTCGACCGAGCCGAATGTAACCAGGACGACCTCGGGGTTTTCATGACCAAAATACTCAAATGGTTTGTAGTCCGTTCCAAGCTCGTCGTTAAGAGCTCGGAGTGTCTTCAATGCTTTCCCTTCGGCGTTTAAATGCTTTCGATCCTCATCCGAGATTGAGGCCAGGATGGAGTTGTATGCACTGCCCAAACCAGACTTGTCCAGGATGTCAATGACCCTGGTGGTTTCTCTCCCAATTCTCAGACCATCATAAACGTGGAGCGTGGGTAGGTCTTGAGCCAGCAGAGTGGCAAGCAGCGACATGTGCTGCGTCTCGTATGCGGATTGGCTGGCAACCAAAGCCAGACCTAGATCCTCGGCCGCAGACAAAGCAGAGACATAATCCGAGACCAGACCACCATTCTTGTCGCCCTCGTAGTCGAGTGCCGCCACATGAGCCACGAATGGATTGCTGACGGAGTATAGCAGGGATAGCTGATCCAATACAGGTCGCAAGAACTTCAGAGCTGATGTCGGAGCAAGGAGTCCTTGAGGAATGTGTCTCTTCTTCAGGTCGAAGTCCTTGGAGAACATGTAACCGAGGGCAATTGATCCTGCTCCATTCCGAATTTGCATCTGTTGCACCCCAGTGGTGTAGCCATTGATGTTCGCCTCTTGTGCCTCTGCCCACGACTTTGCGGCAACGTCGAGATCAAATGTCTCTGGAGAGTAGGAGAAGATCTTGTCGGACAGAGCGTAGGCGACCTGCTGGACGAGGATCTGGGCAGTCACATAGGTAGGGCCGGCGACTGAGGACAGGGACGGCGCCTGGCCGAAGGGGAGGTTCCTTGAGGCACGCGAGGCCGTCTTGGAGTCACTCCCCGGCGCTGGTCCGTTGGAAGAGGGTAGTTCAAGACGCATGATTGCGAGATTCACAGAACAGACAGAGATGAGGAATGAAAAGAGGTGAACCTACCTTGGAGAACGCATTTACAATGAATAGACCCTCGAGGGCCGACTGCCGACCGAGTTCCATCCACCTCATTCATTTTTTGAATGGCGTTATCGATCGGCAGTCAGAAAAGATGCCGTCGGAGGGAAAAATTGGTGGAGGGTCGATCACGCAATTCCACTAGCGCAGAAAAAGAAGATCTGGATCACCGTCACGTGGCGCGAGGCTGAACAGAGTATCCACCAATCAGCGGCTTGCCCGTCTTTCCCAATTGGGCCACGAGGCTGAACAAGTCGGTGTAGCCTTTCGTGGTCATTGTGGAAGGAGATTTTGTAGACAGTGCAATAAGTTGCTGGGAAGCTGATTATCAAACATAATAAGCCGTCTCAGACAGCAGCGCCGACACGAATCTCGTGTCTAGACGGGGCAATATCAATCCAGTTCAATCACTCACATCTGGTCTTCCTCGGGACATGCATGTGCAGTCGGAGTCAGAACGCTCACTCGACATCATATAGGTCAATGTGTCTCAAAAACAAACCTTTTTTAAGAACATCGGAGGTGTACTTGTGATAAGGAGTGGATATCGATGACTGTCAGCAACTGGCAGGCTGGGCCAGCTTGCTGACATCACGAAGCCTATCGCCGATACCAAAGGCCGAGCAGAGGGAACATCATAGATGAATCTTTATGGTATTGCATCGCGTTGAGAAGGAGCGTCGACCTAGTCACCATTGTCTCATGGTTGACCAGTCCAATGTCGAAAATTGCGGAAATGGAGACAGACTTGACCTGTCGACAAGACGCACAGACGTTCAGGAAAACCGGAATTAAGAGACGCAGGGTCCATTCACGAAGGGGGAGAAAGAGTTCAAGACAACGGCGTGATAATTGCCAAGATACACTAACTTCTTATGGCAGCATTGCCGCGACTTTGGTTGTTGCCTGGGTTGGTGGTTTGGGCGCCCGTCCAGAGACTCTTTCGTGATTCGTCAAACCCCACGACAACATCACGGAAGCTGCCGGCCG